AAGACCATTTGATGTAAAGCGTTGTTATTACCGACGGCAATGCGCCAACGAGAAAAATGGTAATTTCATCCGTATAATTAAAACGTACTCTCGAACAGTCTTCTACGCGTCTTCTATAAAATGTCGTTTTTAATGCGACAAGCTGTTTTCAAGTAGCTGCAGTATATACAAAGAGTATATATAAAGAAACGTTTCTGAGATCTCGACAAAAGGTACATCTAAAAAACAAAGATAATCTCTTTCCCTCTTAAAAAAAGGCATCTTCGCGAAAAGACTTTGTCGTACAACGTTAATAATTCAGTTCCTCCTACGTGACATTTGAAATTTATATATAATTTTAAAAGTTAAGCTCTTTTTCTTCTTCTCTCTTCATATTTGTCACGCCATTATAACTGATGTTGAATGGAAGTTCGGGGTAATCTAACAGAGTTATAACGGAGAGAATTAGAACGCGTAGCCGCATGTAATGCTAAGTTATGCTAGTTACGTTACAGATGGTTTGGCTTGTCCAAACTTGTGGAATATGCCCTTGTCCAAAGGCGGCGGGAAACTAGAATTTATACGAGGAAACCGCGGGGTTCGTAACGACTTGCTTTATGAGATCACACGCGACGTCGCTCGATTTGCATGCGCATACGATGCGATGCACCTAATACGCGCGCGCGTGTATAAATACTTATTATAAAGTGCTCTAACCCGTAAGAACGTATCATTAGCATTTACAATGCGGCTTAAATGAGCCTTAACGATTTGTACATCAAATTCTGATCAATTGATTTTTTCACTTATAGTAACAGGTATTTCCTTTTGCAATGTATGAGAAAAGTTTTTTTCAAACTTATTTATAACTTCGTTTGCAACACAACCAGACTTTATCTACCATATCTTTCTCTCAATTTATAAACGTATGTAAAATAAATCAATTCTGGTCGTATTGCAAAATTAAATAAATAAGTTTGGAAAACATTTTTTTTTTTTTCATATTTCCTACATTATAAAGAAAAACATAAATATTGTAAGTAGCATAAAATTGTAAGTAAAAAATTAATTAGTCAGATATGCAAATTTCCCCAAGGTTCATTCATAAGAATATATTTGCGTAAATTCGCGAAAATTAGAGACCACATTCGCATATCAGTACATCTTCGTACATAATTTTATCTTTTTCAGATTGCAAGGATAGCATGGTTCCATCGTGTGCAAACTACAGACGTATGTGCGATGTATCATCGGTCGTACGAGAAAACTGTTGCGTCACGTGCACAAAACGACGGCGACACGTCCGTCACAATAGACGACACATCTTTGCCGAATAACAAAATAAAGGGCTGAAAAGCTAAGAGTGCAAAAGTATTTTGAAAATAAATCCTTGTAACGGACAACACATCCGTCCTCTTTTATTCATATTATCCGAATTAAGATAAAAGCGTATAGTGGAAAAATTTTACGCTTGTTTCATATGTGACAACGAAAAGATGGAAAAATATATGACAGAGGTGATATTACGAGATTATATTTGTAACTTTGTACTACCGCGCATTAAGATATATTATATATATATATATATATATATATATTTCTTTTTTAATGTCCAAAATATGTATATTTTGTATCAGATGTAACCATAGCACCATTTATATGCGTGCATCATTTATCAATTCATCTTATGTTTGTTAAAATAATAATTTCAAAACATTGCAAACAATATATATTTACGAGATGCAATCTTTTAATAAAGAAATGATCAAAATAGTAATACGAAACTAATATTATTAAAGAATTTCTATAATAATAAAAATATCGGTTCTTTATATTAAAAATTGCCTAATATATATGTTTGTTGTTTCAGTCAATGTTTTGCTAAACAAATAATGTACTAATTATTGCAAATTTCAAGTAATGCCATTTTATAATAATTACAACGTTTTTCTACAGAGGCATTTAATTGTCATATCATTCAATAAAAGAATTCAATAATTTTGGGATTAAAGAATTATCGAATATGTAAAAATTCTAGAATGTATAATTATTTCAAAAACAGAACTTCCATATTCGTATATCATACATATAAAAATGTTAATACAAAATTTATAAATAATATTTTTCTATGCCCATTTTTACCTTGTAATAATATAAAATCCATGCATTAACTACTATTTCTCTCACATTGTACATTGTAACTTTCACTAATTTATGTCAAATTATTTTGTATTCATTTAAAATAAAGAGTTCCTCTTTCCTGCATTCTCTCAGAAAAGGAAGAACATAAATGTGTTTACAACTACAACCAACTTATAGTAAATAATTTGTAACTTTCTTGCTACTTACAACAAAACCGCTTCGTGAATATTTAGTTTTATGTACTATATGTAGAAATTAAACATTAATAGTTAGTTTTATATTAAGAAACTGTATAATAAATAAATCGTTCGTTCCTCGATAATGCATTTTATAACGCGATAGTTTTGCGAATTTTGTTGGTTAACAATAATTTAACCGCGATTCCTTTGAGACTCGCAACAAAATCGATCTCTCATTGAAGTCTCATCATCTTTTTGCAATAATAAAAAAAGAAAAGTAGTTCAAAACGTACCTAATATAAGTTCCGTAGGATTCGTTTCTGATTCTAATTTTTTGCGTTCAGTTCCTATTTGCGATACGACGTGCGCAGAGAGAATGAGAAACATATTGAGAGAGGCAATTCCGTTCCCGGCCTTTTTCGTAGGATGTGAGACAGTGGGACCGTCGAAGGCGTCGAACGCCTCTGTACACTACCGCCAGTACATTTTCGAAATTGGTACTACGTAGCCACGTTCATTTTCCGACACTGCCGATAAAACATCATTTTGGTGCGCGTCCGTGCTACATCTGCAAATGAATAGTGTTATATTATATGTATAACACCAATACATTTGCAGATGTAGCGTGGACGCGCACCAGTATGATATTTTATCGGCAGTGTCGGAAAATGGCCTCTCTCAGGCTTCTCTCTGATACAGGCTAAAAACGATGCACGCACAAAGAAGCGTATAATCAACCAATCATCATCGAGAGTTTTACAATGGTGGTCTATTCGTTCTCGAAGATTCTTTATTATAACTGGTTGAAGATCAGTTTAATATTTATATTTAAAGGTTTACATGTATCGATAAATATTAACTTATTTTATATATTTATATTTTATATTATATGTTAAATATCTAACAGTCCTCTCTCCCTCTCTCTCTGCATCTTCCCGCGCGATTCACTCGTTCGAAAAAATCAAAACGGAGACAGAGGAAACGTGAATTCCGAGGTTATCGTTTCACTGCGACACGCGGGACAACGATTCCATTAAGATTCGGATGTATCGCGCTTCAGGGGAGAAAAGGAATCACTTATTTCTCACATATATACGTACATATAATTTACTCACCATTCAATCACGGCGCACTGCATCCGATCCGCCAAATCACAGCCGGCAGGGTGATATGTACGGCGCGATGTCCAGCACGGCATTCGACGTTCATTTCGTCTAGCAACGGCATCTTACTCGTTTCAGTCGACACAAAGAAGGAACGGAATATTCAGCGTACGTTCAGCATGCAACACCCCGCAATCGGATTTCTTTTCGTTCACGAGAAAGGAATTACACGACCGACAACGTCTCACACCGACGTTGAAAGGGTTAACGATTAACGTATTACTTGCGCCGCTTGCGCGCGCGCCGCGCGCCACCGCACAGTCAGGCGAGCCGACCGAGCCGTCGAACGCGATTGGCTCGCGAGTCGAGCCCCCGAATCCGGCCAATCACGTTCTGCCGTTCTCGCCGCTGGTGGCGCCGCCGGCGCAGTAGCCGCGGCGTTACCAGTCGACCCAATCGTACTAGCCGCGCGACCGTTGAATAAATCCGTCTCCGTCAATTTCGGAGCAGCGTACGTTCAAAGTCGGGGCGCGGACGGTTGTTTCTATCGGCGAGAGACGGC